TGTTGCTGGTTTGAATTCTCAATTGCTATTCTACATTGCTATCTTGCTGAATTTCTAAATTATTCTTCTCAATTTCTACTCTACAATTCTTTATCAACAATGGTGTTTGCTAAGTCACAACTATTTTGTACCCATTGCAATCGATCAGGTCATGATTATGGTGGCAGTTTTCTTGTCCATGGGCTACCCGATTGGTGGCTGGACAAATATGGGAATAAAGGTCGTTCTTCATCTTCGCCGATTACTTCCCCGATGATTGTTGCTGCTTATTCCTCGCATGCTGCCTTCCTTTCTTCTACTGCTGCAATATCGTCATTCCCCTTATCGCAACCCTCGTCAGGTCGCGGGGAGAGCCTACGGTCTTGTTCCGCGGGGGCTGCTACCGCCAATAAATTTCTGCCAGGCCGCGGGTCAAACCCATGACCCCAACTTGCGGCCACTGTTCTCAATTCAGCTTCTGTTCTTCCTGTTGCTGCTGCCCTCACTTCGCCCCCTGCCGATGCTATTCTTTCTCACATTGCCGCTGCTATTCTTGCTCACACTACGGCAGACACTATCTCTTCTCATACCACTATTTATCTATCTTGGATAATTGACACGGGAGCCTCACATCATGTAACGGGTGATGAGTCTTCATTATTTGATACTCAATCAATCTTACCATGCCCCGTTGGTCTTCTTGATGGTGGTCAAGCCTTTGCAACAAATGAGGGTCGTGTTTTCTTGGCGGATGGAATTATTCTTGAAAATGTTCTATTTGTTCTGCAATTAAATTGCAATTTGATTTCGGTGTCTAAGTTGATTGATGACTCTAATTGCTTTGTCCGATTCACTAATTCTCTTTGTGCTATACAGGATCAATCCTCGGGGAGCTTAATTGGAGGTGGTGAACGGATAGATGGACTATATTATTTCCGGCGACTCCCAAAAGTATGTGCTCTCACGGGTCCAGACATTTCTACATTTGAGTTGTGGCATCGTCGTTTGGGGAATCCGTAGGAGAAAATTGTCAAATTGCTTCCTGCTGTTCGAGGTAGTTCTGCTCCTAAGTGTTTACATAAAGCATGTGAAATTTTTCCTCTAGCAAAACAAACCCGAGCCCGTTTTCCTGATAGTGATAGTCGTGCTAGTCGTATTCTTGAAATGATACATTGTGATTTGTGGGGACCGTATAAGACGGCTTCTACTTGTGGTGCTCATTATTTTTTAACTATAGTGGATGATTTTTCAAGAGGTGTTTGGGTTTATTTGTTGAATGATAAAAGTGAAGTTTATTCCTCTTTCTGTTCTTTCTTTGCTATGGTTAAAAATCAATTTGATGTTACTGTTAAGTGTGTGCGGAGTGATAATGGAACTGAATTCAAACACATGCTTCCCTATTTTGATGAACATGGCATTCTCTTTCAAACCTCTTGTGTCGGTACTCCTCAACAAAATGGTCGGGTAGAGCGTAAACACCAACATATATTGAATGTTGGTAGAGCATTGATGTTTCAAGGCAATTTGCCAATTGATCTGTGGGGTGAGTGTATTCTTGGGGCGGTTTATGTTATTAATCGCACTCCTTCTCTTTTACTTGATAAGAAAACTCCATATGAAATGCTTTTTGGCAAAGAACCCGATTTTGATGCATTGCGCGTTTTTAGGTGTCTTTGCTTCGCCCATAATTAAAAAGCTAAGGGTGACAAATTTGCTCCTAGGAGTAGGAAATGTGTGTTTGTGGGTTATCCCCATGGCAAGAAGGGTTGGAAGTTATATGACTTTGAAACTGGTGGAATTTTTGTCTCACGTGATGTCAAGTTCTATGAGAATGAATTCCCCTTTGTGTCTACTAGTGACTCTCTTAATGCTACTGTGGGAACCGAGGGTGTGCAACAAGAAAATGTGGTAGTTGATCATGATTTTTTGGATGATTTGGAAAATGTGTTGGAGGTCGGTGAATCCTCTATTGACCGCGGTTCACCACAAGCACCAAGTAGCCCTGCCACTGCTTGTGATGCCGCTGCCACTACCTGTGCTACCCCACATGATACTCACACTACTGCCACTTCTGAGCCCTCTGCTACTGCTTCTGCCTCGGAGGCTATTGCTACGAGCCTCTCCTCTACATCATCTCTTGATCTTGATCGTGGTCAACGACATAGACATCTCCAGGTTGGCATCGGGATTATGTTGCACATACTATTTCTGTTCCGAGTCCATCTATCCCTCCTAGTTCACTGTCTACTTCATGCTCCTCAGGTACTCCCTATCCTATACCACATTTTATGAATTGTGATAATTTTTTTGTGCAACACCGTGTTTTTATTGCAGCTGTTGATACGGTAGTTGAGCCTCGTAATTTCAAGGAGGCAATGCAAGATGAGGGGTGGAAAGCGGTTATGCAAACAAAAATTGATGCATTAGAAAAAAAAATGGCACATGGGTCATGGAAAAATTGCCTCCGGGTAAGAAAGCTCTTGGGTGTCGATGGGTTTACAAGGTCAAACTTAATTCTGATGGCACACTCGAGAGATTGAAGGCTCGTCTTGTTATCTTTGGTAATCATCAGGTTGAGGGTATTGATTACAATGAGACTTTTGCACCCGTTTCTAAAATGGTCACTGTTCGTGCTTTTCTTGGCGTCGCTGCTGCAAAGAATTGGGAATTGCATCAGATGGATGTCCACAATGCATTTCTTCATGGTGATCTTGATGAGGAAGTTTATATGAAGCTTCCTCCTGGGTTTCATGGCTCTCAACCTGGTATGGTGTGTCATGTTCTGAAGTCGTTGTATGGTCTTCGACAAGCACCTCGTTGTTGGTATTCTAAATTGGCCGCCTCTCTGAAAAGGTACGGATTTGTGCAATCCTACTCTGACTATTCTCTGTTTACTCTGCAATCTGGGTCTATTCAACTTAGTGTTCTGGTGTATGTTGATGATTTGATAATTTCTGGTAATGATTCTTCTGCGATTTCAACATTCAAGTCACACTTGAGTGACTGTTTTCATATGAAAGATTTGGGTGTTTTGAAGTATTTTCTTGGTGTTGAGGTTGCTCGTAGTCCCAAAGGCATATTTTTATGTCAACAAAAATATACACTTGACATTATTGCAGAGTCTGGTTTGCTAGGTGCTCGTCCGGCAGGTACTCCTATTGAGCAGAATCATACTCTGGCGACATCAGAATCCTCTTTCTTTTCTGATCCAGAGCAGTATCGACGGCTTGTGGGTCGTCTGATTTATTTGTCTTTTACTAGACCGGATTTGGGATACGCGGTGCATATTTTGTCTCAATTTATGCAACACCCGCGACAGGACCATTGGGAAGCGGCTCTTCGTACAGTGCAGTACTTGAAGGGATGTACGGGTCAGGGAATCCTTTTGAGTTCAGATTGTGATTTACATATTACAAGTTGGTGTGATTCAGATTGGGCAGGTTGTCCCTTGTCGCGCCGTTCTATCTCTGGCTGGTTGGTGTTTCTTGGTGCTTCTCCTATATCTTGGAAGACTAAGAAACAGGACACTGTGGCCAAGTCTTCTTCAGAGGCCGAATTTCGCTCAATGTCTAAAACTACTGATGAGTTGAAATGGTTAAAGGCCCTTCTTCTGAGTTTGGGTGTCTCGCATCCCCGTGCTATGAGTTTGTTTTGTGATAATCAGTCTGCTTTGTATATTGCGAAGATCCGATTTTCTATGAGCGTACCAAGCACATTGAGGTGGATTGTTATTATCTTCGTGATGCGATTCAGGATGGTATCATTAGTCCGTCTTATGTGAAGACAACGGACCAATTAACGAATGTATTCACCAAGGCTTTGAGTAAAAGTTAATTCATGTATTTACTTGGCAAGTTGGGCATTTGTGATTTGCATGCTCCAACTTGAGGGGGGTGTTAGGGCCTATTATTGTGTATAGTGTATAGTTATCGAGCCTATCTCACGAGCCCTAATCTATTTGCTAGGTTGTATATATACGCTTGCTATACTCTAATGAAAACTACGGAAAATCATTTCGTGACAGTGGGGAAGAGAGAAAGCAGATTCGACACAGAAGCCACCACCGTGAAAGTAAACTAAGATGGGGTGGTTGTTTGAGGCAAATTTGGGCAGATAAAGCCTAGCTGAAAGATTTGTATCACTGGAGATTGTGACGTCTTTTGAGGAGACACCGGTTTCTGGGTCATCAAGGGTGGGAGGTCCTAGTGGTGAACCAAAAAGTCTCTCAACTGAGCCATCTTTATAGACTCGGGTGAACCCCGTAAGCTCTACTTTTACCTCTTTCGATGTAGAGTTCATCATAAATTGAAGGAGAGTGCAGTGTTTGAGAAGTGATGGAACTTTAGAAAATGATAAGATTTGCATCAACAATAAGTATTTCTAAGATAAAGAGGTGCAGCCTAATAGGACTTATAAGACATGGTAGAAGGTTAAGTCACGAAATTGACCATTTCAAACCAGAGATGAAATAATATTACGTTTCACGTAATGAATGGTGGAAAGATCACAAATTTGACTTTTAAAGTTCATTCAAAAAACTAAAATCTACGAGGAAATCTAAGCCATCATCAATTACTGTAACCATATCAATTACGAGTAAATCCAAATCGTACCCTTAAAAGAATGTTGTATGAAATAAAATTCTATGAACTATATAGTGACATCATGACATGTTATTGTTCTCTAAAGTCTACCTGTAATTAAGTTTTACTTCACACTTAAGTATCCAATCGTTTAGAATAATACATTGTTGATAAAAGTATAAAACCAAATTCCAGCCAATGAATATGACTCCATTCTGTTAAACCATATATTGACAGATTAACCTGAGTAGAAGCAACTAGATAAACCTACTTGTATGGTCCAAAATAACCTGTAACCAAGATCTTGAGTTCATGACTCGACGCTCGACCTGACCTGCTCGATTGGCCAAATCTTTATATTACGTGGAATCAATGCTTGTTATAGACATGTCATTCATTACCACACTAGTTAAAATAAGAGCAGCTGCAACATTCTAATTACACAAGCACCTAAAATCACCAGCTTATGAAGTCATGAACAACATAATTACATTCCCTTACAATTATACAAGCAAAAGGAGAAAATATACAGGGTAAGATTCTATGCTTACAGTAATATGTAATCTTTCCAGATTCTCTGTAAATCAGACGCATTTTAAAGGTAATTATAATTAGTCAACATCACTAATTCTTACAGCACCATTTCAAATTTGATCATTTGTTTCAAGTGTTTAAACAGTGAGAAGTCACCTTAGTTGTTTTAAAGGTCATTTAAACGCTTTCCCAGTGAGGTCGGTTTGAGCCTGATGCGTTGGCATGCACACTATATCCTAAATCTGCTCCTGCGGAAATCAGATCAGACTTCACATATGCTTGATAGATAACTGCTTCCAGAGATTTGCCTTCGTGAGGACACAGTGTTAAAGATTAATATTTTTGTTTTTTTTTTTAAAAAAAAAAATAAAAATAAAGGCAAGGTGGCTAAGACTCATCAAGCACAAAATGAAAGATATGTGGGAGGCTGGGAGTTTAGAAATGTAAGGGATAAGAGACCTTTGAGTCATGTCTCCTTGTCGGTGATTTGCTGCTTCAACCAGACCATTTCTAAGATCGAGGATAAAAACAAAAACTGGCAGCTTTAAGTCACTAGTTCAGAGCACTGGGTTTGGTGAGTAATCTGAGAAAATAGTTTCTAATTTCTGGCAAAATATGCTGCATAAGAGATGAATGCCTGCACAATTACACAGCAAGGTCAGTCAAGTATTCTACATATTATTTACTCAAGCATAGTTACCTATTATATACTTGAGAAAAGAATTAAAATTGCTAAATAGCAGAAGCAATCATAACTTCATAAGCACAAACTCCATTTTTTCTTTTTGGTTTGTCCCTAAAAGATTGGCCCATTTTTATTTGACATAAAAGGACAAAATAATCAACCCACTCATTACAATTTTAACAATGTTAAGGGGAACTGGGCAATCTATTAGAGTTGGAGGGAGTATTAGCTCCTTTACTTTGAAGACTCACATGATAACTAACCCCCTTGTCTCTGATATCGGTAGTACTTGCCAGACAAACAAAATAGATATATCATTCACCTCATGTTAGATATATAGAATTTTGCTAACTTGCAAGCGGCTACTATTACTTTATCAGTTTGGCAATTCTCCTTGAAGGCTTTGGACATACAACCTTTTATGTAGTAACCTTTAAGTGTCTTCAGTTCTTCACAAAATTTAGACAATGATGTTGAAAATTTAGCTTTCTAAAGTTGCAGACTTCGCACTTCTAATTATTCTCAGTAAACGTCATATGTTTAAATTCAATAATTAAGTTTCCAATCTTTTTTGTGCAAGCCTGAAGTAAATCATAAATGCACATAAAAATGATGTTCTATTTGATAATAACCCTAACAAGCAGATTTTGCAAATAATAATCGCATAATAAGATTCGCCATGTAATTTCAAGTGCACAATATTAAATTGGTTTTAGATTTGTACCAGAATACCTAAAACACCCGGTTTTAAATTCTCACCTCATAGAAGGGGGGGGGGGGAATACTACTTCCTCCGCCCATAGATAAAAGGCCCATCTCTCCCAAAATTCTCAATCCACAGTAGAGGCTCAATTCTCATTTGGGAAGGGTTCATCAATAATTCACTTTTAATCAACAAAACCCTTCTAACCCAAATATAAGGTCTCTTGCTCCTCTAAAAACAATATACTGTTCACATTACCTTCTTTTTAAATTCAACTATATTTAACAAATAAACAATAACCCACTACAACCTCTCTCAATTTTGTGCCCAGGAGAAATGGGGCTCGGATTTAGGGATCGAGGGAATAGTCAGCTAGTAAAGCTAACAAAAGATATTAGAGAAACTACATACCCTGGTCTATCAATCAATTTATCATACTGCTCCAAGATGAAAAGGATGCTAGCCTGCCTCAATGAAACAGCATGAAATGCCTCAGAAAGCTCGTACATGCTTGACACATTCTCCAAGGATATATCCTTCATATATTACAAAAACCAATAACTCATTATATGTCATCATTCAATAGAAGAAAAATATATCAAAGAAATGAATGATTATCCATGTCAGCTCACCTGAGCTATGGTATATTCACAAAGGCGTTTTAACCCCTCTAAAAGATACTGATCTGCAGCCCTAAGGAGATCTTGTGCAATGTCTGGTTTTATGTCTACTGATCCAGTATATATAAATCTGCAACAAAATGACAGAAATAGATAGACACATAAATTCTATTGCTAAGTTTACAATTCTTCAGCAGAAATTGCTACATGAATGCATGTTTAAATAACCTCATCATCAATTCAAAAATCTCCCATCTGATGTTAGGAATCTCTATATCTCTGGCATCCTTTTCCTGTATCACAGTGATAACAGCATAAGTCTTATTAGAAAATTTCCAAGCATATAAATGAGTGCACAGTAGTCTGTTCTGTATAAAAATACCATAGTTCCACAGCTTTAAATATAAGGGGGATTTTAAAAAAAAAAAAAAAAAAAAAAAAATAGAAGCTAATGTTTCTTGCTAGAACACACGATGAATGATGCATGTTATCTTCAGGACTAGTTGAGAAGAACAGGACTAGTTGAGACAATCGTCCTGTGCCATATACGAAGTAATTTGAGCAAGCTTTTGTTCCAAGAATTTATTTTTTCTTTAAGCCCAAATTGCACCCTCTCCATCCATCACCCATTATATTATTTTGTCTTTGATGTGAATCGAGTCCCCTTTCATATCACTATACTTTTTGCTTTATTTAGGTACTCTCTTGGTTTAACCTTACTCTTAAAGTGGGGGTTTTACAAGTGAGTTTTTAATAATGTTTTTATTGTTTTCTTAGTAATAGTGATGAGGCCTTGGGCTTCCAAAGTTGTGTTAATTGGTTAGATGGCTATTTTGGTTCATTAATTAATTGTTAGGGATTTTATTTAGTTTGCTTGCAGAGCAAGTAGGATAGATTTATTTTTTCTATATATATTAGTCCTATGTCAATTATTTTGAGAGGACGTTTTATAATAAAAAGTTGAGTTTATTGAGGTTTTGCTTGAAGAGAACTTTTTTAAGGTTCAAACTAGCTGTTAACTAGGGTTTTGGGATCGTTGCTCCTAAGATCAAACTTAGAAGTCATTACCTTCTACGACTATCCTTTGAATTTCCACCATTAAAATCACTCAAATCCTTCCATCATATTAAAAACCGTAAAAAATAAACATCAGTCTTTCACATTAGATTAGTATGGTATGCTCTCTGCTCACAGCATATTATATGGTCTTCCTTAAACACCCTCCATAACAGATATAACAATAAAAAAATTGGTATTTCTCTTAAACAAATATATAGCTCATAACTATACATAAGCGAACTAAGCAAATAAGAGGCAAAAGGTCCAACTCATTTAACTAAACAAGTAAAACTCACCCGATAACCACCATCAAACATTGCACGGAATGCATCAGATGAAGCAAGAAGGCAGATTCGATGAGCAAAGAACCGTTTGCCTGAAATTTGAGGTAATGCTTTTTAGAACTTATGCAATTGTGTTCAGAAAATTAATCTCAGAACAAACGGATAATAAATACTATAAACAAGCAAGATAGATGCGGTTTGAACCTTGAACTAGAAAAGTAACATCTGAGAGTGTAGCATTATTTACATACTGCTCGCCTAAGTAAACCTGCAAAATCAAATGCTATTTATGAGAACCCCCGACTGCAAAGTAATAAGAATTTCAAGAACTTCATATAGGACACACAGCATTTAACTTGACATCACCTAATTTTCAAACAAAACTACCATCCAGTATTTAGAACACATGAAACATTTTTTATGGCAACATGCTTTGATATTTAGAACATGAAGTCAAAATTCTAATAATAAAGTCTAGAGTAATCTAAAATACGTCTTAAGAAATAAGAGTGTTCTAAATTTTAGCCTTTTCCCTAATTTCAAAACACTGGAGTAATACTTTATAAACTTCTTGTATGTTGTATTTATAAATGTAATCAACCTTTTAGTCATCATAACTTTAAAATAAAGTTTATGCAGCAGTTTTCACCACAAACTTATTTTATCAAACATGTACTCAAAATTACTTAGAAAATATCAAAAGTTTATTGCAAGTCTTAAGGTAAACTAAGCAGTGGCGGATCCAGATTTCCAAAATGGTGAGTCACCATCTATTATTGATCACATGCGAAAATAAATTTTTTTCCGGATCTAGTTCATAATGGATTTCAATCCAAAATTGTACTACCTCCGTTAAATTTTAGTTGCAACAAAGGAATATTTTATGTCTCACTTATAATACCCTTTGTTGGAACTAAAATGTGTGTGCCGTGCACAATAATTTTTAATAATCATTTCAAAAAAAGTATTACCAAAAATACGTTACATATAAAATGAAGTAGAAAATGATCAAAATTCTGTCAAGAAATTTTTTTTAATAGCTATTTAAATATTTTTCTTAAAAATATGTCAAATCTTTTTTATTTTAAGTAATAATATCATATAAGATTAGAGGATTATTTTTGTATAAGATTTGTTTCTTTAATAAAATGTTATTAAAAAAAAAAAAAAAAAAAAAAAAAAACTAAGGACACACAAGGAGATGACATGTGTTATTGCCGTTGTGTCTTTTAGTACATATTATTGATTTATGTCTCACTTATAATACCCTTTGTTGGAACTAAAATGTGTGTGCCATGCATGGTAATTTTTAATAATCATTTCAAAAAAAGTATTACCAAAAACACGTTACATATAAAATGAAGTAGAAAATGATCAAAATTATGTCAAGAAATTTTTTTTAATAGCTATTTAAATATTTTTCTTAAAAATATGTCAAATCTTTTTTATTTTAAGTAATAATATCATATAAGATTAGAGGATTATTTTTGTATAAGATTTGTTTCTTTAATAAAATGTTATTAAAAAAAAACTAAGGACACACCAGAAGATGACATGTGTTATTGTCGGTGTGTCTTTTAGTATATATTATTGATATATTAGATTGTGTATATGATATCCTTTATTGGGTGGATGATATCCTTTATTGGTTATATAATGTCATGGCTAGATGATATCCTTTATTGGCTATATGATATATTTTTATAATTGCGTCTATGATATCTTTTATTGGATGAATGATATTATTCATTGACTATATGATATTATTTTTAATTGTATCTATAATATAATGTCCTTTAATTTATTGGTTTATATAATGATATTCTCTAACAAATTATAGTATTCTCTACCAAAGATAAAATGTATATATCCTCTATCAAATACTACATACCATATAACAAACAATACATATCCTATAACAAAATTGTATGTATCCTATATTAAATAACACATATCCTCTATCAAATAATACATATCCTGATCAAATACTGCATATTATATGTATTTGATGCACGAATTGTTTGATGCGGCTTGCCGTACCCAATACATTCTATTTTTAAAAAGTATGAGAAAATATTTATGGATAGTGTGAGGACAATTATATCCTTAAAATATTTGTTTATTTTTATATCCTTACTAGATGAAGCCCGTGCGATGCACGGTTTGTTAGTATTTTTTTAAAAAAATATTTTTCATATTTATGTGATTTTTGTTATTATATTAGCTTTAAAATATTAGATAAAATTTCTAATCTCAAAAGATAATATTTTGTAATTAATTAGTTTAAACTTTAAAATTTCATTCGTCAATTTTGCTAACGTGGCATTTGAATTATTTAATTGTAAAATAAATTAATAATCTCTTATTTAATTGGCTACAACTTAAATTCATAATCCTACCTGGCACGCTAAGAAAAATAAATCCTATGTGGCTCTCTAAAAATTCGGAGAAAAACTCCCCTTTATACTCAAAAGATAATATTTTGTATTTAATTAGTTTAAACTTTAAAATTTCATTCGTCAATTTTGCTAACGTGGCATTTGAATTATTTAATTGTAAAATAAATTAATAATCTCTTATTTAATTGGCTACAACTTAAATTCATGAAAAACTCCCCTTTATACTCAAAAGATAATATTTTGTATTTAATTAGTTTAAAATTTAAAATTTCATTCGTCAATTTTGCTAACGTGGCATTTGAATTATTTAATTGTAAAATAAATTAATAATCTCTTATTTAATTGGCTACAACTTAAATTCATAATCCTACCTGGCGTGCTAAGAAAAATAAATCTTATGTGGCTCTCTAAAAACTCGGGGAAAAACTTCCCTTTATATATATATATATATATATATATATATTAGATTGCAACCAAATAGTACTTACTATCTTTTCTTTATTTAAAAAAAAAAAACAAATAATACTTAAAAAATCTATCTTATAAACCGAAAGTACTACAAATATCATGTAACAAACAAATAGTATACACCTATTACTCTTAACAGTAGCAAAAATAAAAATAAAAAAAGTAAAATGACCTTAGAGACTAGTTGTTAGTATAAACGGTCCCTTTTAATCTAATATATTTAAATAAAGTAGGCATTTTTCAAGAGCCTTCGGCGCGCCACATAAGAAAATGTATTATTTTGACCAATGAAAAATTAGAATAATAATTTATTTTAGAATTAAAAAATTCACTCACCCCCTAAGCAAAAGTGACAAATAAGATTCAAGAATTTTGCCACATAGATAAAAACAACGAATTGTGAATAATTAAAATTTAAATTATACAAAAAACTAAAAATTATCTTTTTGAAAAAAAACTAACAATAATCTTTAACTATTAGGATATAAATTATTAAAAAAAAAAATAGATTAATTAGTATTTTAACTTTTTGATATTTATCAACAATGGTAAGATAACGTGCATTATAAGTTATCATAAGGTTGTGCATTATAAGATAATTTTTGAAAATACAAGCACAAGAAACATAAATAAATAATACTTAAAATTATATCACAAATAATATTAGATTTAAATTATAAACGTTTTTAATAAAATTTGTGATACCTACGATTATAAGATAATTTTTTACAACGTTATAAATTAACGCATCATACGACATCAACGAAATTCTGTATCAATACAAAACCCAATCAAGGGAATTTGTGTTAGTAATTTTCTCTCAGTTTTAAGTCATCAATGGTTGGGTAAATCTTAGCTTAATTTTTAAAATTCTATATTTGTAATTATTACTTACATTATGTTTTTTGGGATATTTAACGAGTATATGTTTATGTTTTGTTTAATTTATTGAATTTTGTTTTGACATGCCTATCTAATTTAATAGGGGAATTAAATTCGAGCAACAATTGATTGGAAAATCAAAGCACGAGCTCTCGCCTTTTTGACATACTAAACATCCGCAAATTAAACAAGATAGCTTAATAAGTTTGTATATGGTCCAATTGGACAAGGAGGTATTATATTTTTATAAATTGTTTACCTTTATTAAATTTCATTAATATACACCTTTTTGGTTTTTTTTATTAATTAATATAATGAAAAAATCTAACTTAATTTCTTATTTTTAATTGTACGATGATTATGTTCATGCCTCAATTAAAGCCAACTTTGTCCAAGACTTTCGTCCAAAATATATTGAAGGAAATAATTTCCTTATATGGAGCTTGTTTATTTTAGCTTTGGAATTACAATATTTTCCTCAAAATACATACAACATTGTAACAAAACAAAAAGAATACATATTAATTAGAATTAACATATTCAATTTCCAATAAATACTTAGAAGCTAATCTAAATAAATACTACTCGTATAATGTACAAAGGGATTTATAAAAAAGATTTATAAGTTTTTAAAAAAGGGAAAAAATCAAAAAAAGATTCAAAAATATTACAATAAAATCCGTGCATCGATCCGTGCATCACACGGGCTTACATCTAGTTAAAAATAAAAGGAGCGATACCGCTAGCATATAATAGACCGATTTTATAAATAACCGGTCTCTTTGATTGATGTTTATTTTTTTTTTAATTGAACTTCAAATTTTTTGGGGGGGTGGTGATGCACGTGCACCAATGTAGAACATAAAACTATCTAGAACAAAATACTACTCCCTCCGTTCCTTTTCTATGGTATGTTTCTATTTTGGGTGCTTCCTTTTTAAAGTTACGTTTCTAATTCCAATAATAATATTTTTACACACATACCGTCATACTGTATTAACCTATTTCCAATGCAACTATTCCCATAAACCAAAAATATTTACCTACTAAATCAAATATTCCTATTTAGTATTTACCAAAATATTTACCTACTCTCAAAGCAAATATTTCCATTTACCAAAATAATTAATCTACTCCCAAAACAAATACTCCCATTTTACCTACTCCGGAAGCATTTTTCCTAATACCAATGAGAAAACCCAAATGTAAACTTTAAAAAGGAACAAAGAGAGTACTATTTTTAGAACACAGACTCAAAAATACTAAGAACATGAATTCAACCTAAATAAGTCTAATCTTAGAAATTTGATGTGTTTCATTCTACTTGCAGATTTTTTTTTTTTTTTTATTCTTTTTTTGGAGGAAGAAGATTCTAGTTGTAAATATTTCATTTAATATGAGCTTGAATCTTCAATGGAGTCTAAAACAAAAGAAACAATGACAGAACAGCATTAGTAGCAAAACCTTCTATGGGTTCTGTCCTTGTACAGTAGTTGACTAAAAGAGCTAAGAGAATTCTCTAAGCAAAGAAAATACCATTGTACAATCATCACTTAGCACAAAACATAGAGCATCGAATAAAGGGGAAGTCACCTGTGATATGGGAGAAGGAGGAGCTGCATCAATGGGGGAAAGGGTCATAGCTTTGCTTGCTAATTTACAAAGGGCCATAGCACCATCATGTTGTTGCTTAGTATTAGTGGATTTGAGAAGCCCGAGAAGTAATTCCAGTCCTAGCCAAATAACATAATATCAATGACGGCAAAATATGAATGTCAATTGAATAGGAACAATTTTAAGACCATACAGCTATGGAAAAATCCATACCATTGTTATCAATAAAGATTGATCTCTGGTCTTCCGGAGAACACAGATGAGCAAGAGCCAAAGCTACTTGTCTTTGAACAGATTTTTCTCCCACACGCATGAGGTACAATAAGTGGGTCAATACCTTTAAAACCATAACTGGACTATAAGCGCTTTCAAAATTGATGGACTAAAGGCATATATAAACAATAGAAATTCATAATACTAACCCGGCCATGTATTTTCTCCTCTAATCGTTTCAGTGTCTTGGCTACACAATCTTTGGTTGCCTGAAAGCACATGTATAGCATAAAACATTTATAAAAGATTCATGGATACAAGAATTAGCTGGAATAGTTTACAGCTCCCACAAATGCCCTATTGCTTAAGTCCTTCCGTAAGCTATAGCAAATACAACAGAGCAGAAAGCAGTGTCATATACTACAGCAAAAAACAAACCTGAACAATAAACTCTCCTTCCTGCAACTTTTGAAGACCACCAACTTTTACAAAATCAGCAACATTATCCTGGAAATTTCAGTAACAAGGGTGTGATATTAAACCGATAAGAAAGTTAAAATTAAAAAACCAATAAGTTCCAATTGATTTAACTCAGACCATCCAAAATTATAGATGAAGATACCTCGTTATCTGCAAGACCATAGAGAGCAAAAGCAGCATTATGTTGAAGAGATCCATTTTTTGCATCCAGAAGCTTTAATAGGGGCACTAAACCACCACTGTGAGAAATCCCGGCTTGATTATTTGACTCCTAAATAAAATTCAAAGAATGTCTCACTAGATGGCCCAGAGAAAGGGTTACAAATAAAATTAGAACTAAAAAAAAAAAGAGAGAATAAATTTTATACGATTGCAGAGCCAAAGTACTCAGCAGAAAAGGTTTTGGAGTAGAACAGTTTACTATCACCTCCTGAGAATGCATCAATAAATAGTTTACTATCTCCTTCCTAGAAAGGAATACAGTACACAGGCCACAGGGTGAGCGCGCAAAGCTAAGTGTGGTCTCCAACTCTGCAAATTATTTCAAGTGTTCAATTTCTCCAAACTAGCAACCCAACAAAAGCTTTCACCTAATTTGAAATTTTGGCCTTCAAAATAGAAAGGTGAAAAGATGGTGAAATTGGAGCCTTTTTGGTTGCTACAAAAGATACGACAAGTAAAGGACCCTGAGGAATCAGCCAACCACACTCTTCAATCATGGAATTTCAACAAAGAAACAGAATCAAGCCAGCTCAACAGGTTAGTAAGCTTCCCAAACTCCCAATCATGAATTTCCCTCCAAACAATGAAAATTCTAAGACATATTAGTACCTTGTTCACCCAAAACAATGAAATTTGAGTATTATAATAGGCAGCTCACAATCTTTAGAGAGAAAAAGGGGACACTAAAAGGCTCCTCCAAATACGATGCACTCCCTACTACCCACCTTGTACTTGACCCTAAAGGAAGAAGAATTACGAAACCTATGAAACATAATTCCAAGGGATTGCATATTTGCATAGGGAATTAGCGCATCCCTGCCAAAGTGCCACTCCTTTGAAAACCATACCTCTGTATCACACTATGCTACACGAAACCATTGCAGTAAACGCCACAACAATTCTCCCACCAAGAAGTCGACTTTAGATGCCATACTACCAAAAACCAGGCCTCCCTCTTCCTTAGATATACAATTACATACAATCAACAAATCTTGTAGACCACAAAAATATGTCATTAGCTTCTTTAATGTCCTTGTTACGCACACTAATATGACCCTAAAAGGGAGCGAGTGAAAACACAGTGGGGCAGAAATACAAGGCTAAATAAGAGTCCCATAAACCCCCCATCCTAACTCCAAAAAAAAAAAAAAAAAAAAAAAAAAAAAATCAATCATCTATCTTCCTATATACTTGACATCCTATCCCAAAAACGATTCCTTCAAGAATATTAGCCCCTAAAGGGAGACCAACATCATATTAATATTAGTAACATAAATATGTATGCATTAGGATAAGAGTAACTAAAGTGCTCAGCAAAGAATTGCAATAATAGTTTTCTTCCAGAATCCCATTGTTGATTAGGCTCTCTAGTAAACTAATAATTTCTAAATCCTTCTAAGAAAAACAAAATGCCTTCATTGTTTTCATTTCTAATGGAATCAAGAAGGCAGCATATTTTGCATAACTTGAAAGTCCGTGGCCAAACATCAATTTACTTTAGAAACATCCATTATGTTATGATATACCAAAGCACACCCAGATGAAAGACTCACTTACTCATGTGTGCTTTATTTTATCTTATACCTTGTGCCAAGAAATTCAAATGCATTCACAATACTATACCAGTTATAATAAATGAAAGTGGTAATACGCAGTATGTATGCAATTATTTTATATAGTATAAGGGCGATGGTGAGCTTACAAGGTCAAACTAGATACTTTTTTTATAAGACGTCAAACCAGCATAATAGCCAAGTTGGGAAGCATACACCTAGCTCAAACAAGAAACTAGCTACATGCTTTAAACACCTTTTACAGCTTCATATATCACAGTAGTCTACACTAGTCCAATTCACAGGAGGCCACTATGGGCAAAGGCCTCAGAGACACAAAGTGCTTAGCAAAACTCTTCTTATTGCAATAATCGACCCCCATCCCCAAATAACAAAGGGAAGAAAAGGTAATGAGCACATATAAGACATCATTTGTATGCCAAAATTTACATTATTGTTCCACATATCCTTACAATATATTTTACTTGAAAACAAGCACTTCCCATCCATACAAATTAATCCTAGCATCTGTCAATCACTTGCAATACTTTAAGATATAGTTCTAAATGTACAACCGAAAATAAAAAATAAAAAATAATAAAAAAAAAAACACCACAGATTTAATTAAAGCATAATTAACTGACACATCCACACATCAAGATTCATTCAAAGTATACACCATGTAAATATTAACCTGTGCTAGCCTCCCTAAAGCAAAGGCTGACATTTCCCTCAGCTGCAAATCAGGGGATTGAAGCATTTCAATCAACGGTGGAACAGCACCTCTCTGAACAATGTGAATCTAGAAACAAAATAAGGAAGTTTATCAAGTTCAAACATAGCTAATATTATTTATGATAAATTTGATGCAAGAAGAAGAATGGGTAAAATAACAGAGAAATAAACCCCTCGCATGTGTACATACTAGTAAGGGAAATAATGAAGATACTTTAATCAGAAAGTTTTCTCAGGTATTGAAAATGAGTGTATCACAGATAGCATAGCATTCTAATACCTCAACCAGTCACCTTAATCATCAAAACATAACGAGACTTAAGTGTTAATAGCCCAAAACTCACGCCATAGTAATGTATATAAACAAAGCTAAATAATTTTGTTTTAAATACATCTTTAAGTTCTCTTTCAGAAAAATGGGTAAAACAACAGAGCAATAAATGATAATATTTCATTCCATATTCTACTGGATATCTCAAGATTGCCAACAAAAATATCTGCATCCTGAGTCACTAGTGAGAAACTAACTAATTCCAAATCTAAACTAGTACTGGTGTAAGGATTCGTAACGAACAAATGAAGCAGATATGACAAATTTCTAATAAGAATGCTCCTAAACTTTAAAATAAATAAAAAAGAACATAGCTCTGTGAAAGACCTTGCAGTCTGAATCGGTTGCAGCAAATTGTCCAAGTAATAATGCAGCTTCCCTCTGGCTCTCGGAGCAGCATGAACTGTTTACCAAGAATATTTACTCAGTTATAAACAGTATTAAGAAAAAGAGAATGAAGAAGTGTTTAAAATGCATCAGTATCAACATATATTAAAATATATGCCATTAAATCTGAAAAGAAATTCATTACATTCACAGCAATGACCACAATTGCTAGGATTTCTAAACATTTCCTGTTACGTCAGATTGCAAGATCATTTTAAAGTAAGCAAAAGGACTTCTAAACCTTGCAAGGAAAAACGAGCAAATAAAAAAAAATATCTAAAACCCACAAAGAAATGCCCAGAAATTTAATGTCATAATTATAAAGAAGAGATAAATACATACAAGTACGTCAAAGATATAAATGCAAAATTACCTGAGTAGCCTGATAACAGGTTGTAATGCTCCAGCATGCAGGACATCTTTTTTTATGTTGGGCGACGAATGAACCAAATTTCCAAGCACACCAACCTGAAAAATATTAAAAGCAGAAAGCATGATATACATATGTGCTAGAAACTTCATCTATGTCAATTAAAACTAAGGAAAATAGGGGCTTTGACACCCCCATCACATTAAAATACACTACATTGAAATGAACAAGATTACCGCTTCATAATGTATAGCAGAATCTTCAGATCTAAGCATCAGAATCAGAGAAGGAAGAGCATTACATTCAACAATCTGTATGGTCATAAATTTAAACTGTTAAACCTTAAATAACTTGAAGAATTGTTATTAACGACAGTACACATAAACTGATAAGCTGGCTTCAGAAAGGTCTATCACCTGCTTCTTATTTTCATCATTTTTAAAAGCCAGAGTGCGCAGTGCCCCAGCCACTGCCCTCTGTACCTTTGCATCACTAAATTCAAGTAGTTCAACTAGGGGTGGAATACCACCTTCCGTCCTGAATAAAATCCAGGAACCAAAGTCAAGCAAGAAAAACAGAAAAACTATCTAGTTCAGATACAGCAAAATTAATCTGAACCAACCTGACAGAGGTTTTGATGCTGCTATTCTCATGAGCAAGGTTAGTAATTGCATCAGCCGCTCTCCGAATGACACCATTGATAGCCCGAGAATTCAAGCCACATTTGTGTCTCTTCAAAAGATCTACGAGGAGAGGTAAGACACCAGCATCAACAATGCATTGTTGATGCTCTGGCTGCAAGCAGAATCATACAAAGGGTGACAAACATAATAGCAAGGCTTTGTAAGCATAAACGAAACAACATACTACTTCCAACTAATTGACTGCAAAACTAGATGGATAGGCAGTTTAACATTCAAGACTTTGAGGTACTTCATATGAGGTGCCATAAAAGTCACACAATAGTAACCACACATATATACTATAAGTATCAACACACTAGCCCACACATATATTGCTAGAAGAGATGCTAAAGATGTAACATAGCACCATGTCGAAACAATATCCACCAAACCAAGGCAAATTTTCTCATGAAATTTAGATCTTCAATTGGATGCAACATTTTGAGTCGCCAACTGATTTCATTGCCACTCCTGCATGAACTTTTTAGTCCACATGCAAGTTAACCAATGTACACTTAGCAAAAGTGTGGAATACTGGAATAAAAACAGATAATCAAATCCTTCTTTAGATGATATGTCAGAATCAACAGCATATACTTGTTTCCTCCTACAAATATCCTTAAAATGGTTCACCAACATTTCTTGCTAAGAACTATCAGCTATATATACCTTACCACCTCTTTGCATATTGAACATCTATACCTCACCAAAAACCACAAGTAGTGAATCCGCATCGTTCTAACTGTTTAACATAGAAACAACGCAACTAACTTGTTATTGAACAAATCCAGTATAGTACTTTCATTACAGACAAACCTTTACAACAGCTTGTCTATCCCTTTCAATTATCACAATAACAGATACATAAAATAAAATTTCATACCAACTCTTTCAAATCATGCATTAGAATCTCTAACAGTTACAATATTGCATTATGTACAATACCCAGTAAATAGAAAATCAATATTGCTATAATTTGGCAATTCACAACATTCGCCAAATTCGAAATTGTAAATAAATTTTAAAATCACTGACCTTCAAGTCATGCATTAAATAAATACATAATCCAATTCTTTCAAGTCATGCATAAAAATCTGCTAGTAACTTCCAATATTGTATGATTGTATCATGTACACTTCATAACAAATCAATATTGCTACAATTTGGCAATTCACAACAGACATTCACCTAATTCGAAATCGAAATCGAAATCAAAATTGTAAACATTCACTGACCTTCACAGCAAGAAGCCCAAGAGCAAAGGCACTAGCTTTCTCAACCTCATGCTCATACGGCTTCACCCCATCATCTTCAACCGGCGACGGCGGCGCCTTAAGATGCTTCACCAATAAAGGAACAGCTCCACCTTCCACAATTATAGTCGCTACATCCTCTATTACAACAACCACAAAAATTCAACAAACTTCACTAATCAATAGATCATACAAATCAAAACCCCTAATTTATCACAAAATCTCATTTTCCACCCAAATTATTCAACAAACAAGGGAAAAAATCATACCATTTTTCGCCAATTCTGCAAGAAGATGAGTAGCGCGCTTAGCGGCGGCTCTATCGGCTTCAGTCCACGAATAAGTGTTGCTTAAAATCTCAACCTGAGCAGAAACCTCTCGACGAAGAGCTTCACCTGTAACAATGGCGGATTCTCTCTCTTCTTGTTGTTGGTCTAATTTCCGTTTTTGCCCTTTTCTGTCGCTCGAATTTTCCTTCCCCTGCCACTCCTTGGACCCCATTGCTGCAGCCCAAAGGGACGAAGAAAAAAAGAAAAAAGACTTGAGTATATTTTGGATAGCAGAAATATTAGATTTGGAAGGGTAATTTTGGGATTTTAAAAGTTTTCTCTCTCTACTGATTGCTTGACATGTTTGTTTTTGTTACTTGTTGTACCAAAGCAAATTGTTTGGGTCCGGTTTGCTGGGAATTTTCCAGAGTCCGGTCACTGGGAAGCCAGTTATGGTTGTTTTCCGAGGCTGGCGGACGGATGTACACCCATGTCGCACAGTATGTATTGTGGTATGAAATTAGAAAATCAATACTCCCTTCATTTCTAAATACTTGACACACTTGACTTTTTTGCCTGTTCATTTATAAACTTTGACTTTTTTATTTTTACAAATTAAAGACTTTATTATTATTATTATTATTATTATTATTAATTATTATTATCATTAATAATTATTAATTATTATTAAAATTATTATTATTATTATTAATTATTATTAATAAGAATAATATTTAATATTATTATTATTATTATCATTAATAATTATTATTATCATTATTAATTATTAAAATTATTATTATTATTATTATTAATTATTATTAGTATTATTATGAATTATTAAAATTATTATTATTATTATTATTATTTTTAATATTAATAATTATTATAATTATTCAAAATAATAAATTATTATCATCAATACAATATTAATAATTATTATTGAATATTAATTATTACTGTTGTTGTTATTATTAATTATTATTTGAAAATTAAGCAGAGCCGAGCAGAGCAGAGCGGATTTCTTTTGAGCAGAGCATAGCAGATTTGATTTGAGCAGAGCAGAGCAGCTCTAAAGAACGGGGCCCAAGTGTAGTCCCAATCACCACTACACCAACATCCAATTGGTTATTTTTAAAGAATTTGACTACTCCATCCGTGTTTTTTAAGTGTTACACTTATAAAATCCGGTCGTGTTTTAATAAGTGTTACACTTTCTATTTTGGCAAAAAGGTACATTAAAATATTATATATCTCTCCTCTCATGGTCCCCACTCAAATCCACTATTACTTTTTTTTTATTACTTCCTCCGTTTTCTTTTAGATGCAACACACCCTTTAGCGTGGTAATTAAGAAAGGTGGGGTTTACATGATATAATAAACTTTAAAATAGAATGAGTGGTTGTTAGGAGTGTAATTTAGTAGGCTATATGCTTTAAAATAAGGGAAATAGTATAGTTTTTTCCTAAAGTAACTTTCTTTTTATAGTGTGTTGCAAGTATTGTGACATTTGCTTTTTAGAGAAGTGTTGCAAGTAAAAGAAAATGGAGCAAGTATATCTTTCCTCTCATATTCATTACTTTTCAATAAACTATTAACCTCACTATCTTTCTTTTACAATTTTTTAATGCTCCAACAACCCCACTTACCTATTATTTTATTTAAGTCAATTAAATTGCCTAAAACTATGTGGCGGTCAAATTGTAACACGTAAAAAAATACGGAGGTAGTATTTTTTTTACGTATTTTTTTAAAGTATGTATAAAAAAACAAATTTTGTTTAATGGATATTAATACGTAGTATAAAATTCTACAATATTAACTTTTTAATATTTATTTATTACTCTCTCCGTTCTTTTAGTAGAGTCTCAATTCTAACATTTATTACTCACATAATAAACATAATAAAGAGACATGGGAATCTAATAAAAGAACGAGGGAGTAACATTTAATCATATAAATTGAAGGTCAACCCATTTGGGTAGCTTAACTAAGCTTTTTTAGACTCGTTCAGGAAAGGGGAAAAAAACTTTATTAGTTTCTAATAAAAATTATAAATTGAAGGTCAAACTTGTGCATTATCATGTGTGTCACGTTTAACAAAGTCACTTAATAAGGAACATAGAGACTACTACTTTGCCGTGGACTTGTGGATTTGCACAAACCAACGGGTACAAGCCAATTGCCAAAGCAAGATAAGTCGGAATGTGGGATTGGTGATGAGGCTGTGTAATTAGTTGTTTCGACTTTCGAGTTAGGCTAAATTTAGTTCAATTTTGTTTTGAGTTTTATGATTTGTACGTATTATTTTCATTTGATTTGACTGTCTAATTTAACTAAACTTTCTTTTACGCAACAAAAATTATCATTAATGAATATTCATACCTCATCTACCATAATAATAATAATAAAGATTTGTAAACCACATATTTAGAGAAATTAACATAACTTTTACATTCAAACTCATAACTAATTTGCATATTTGGCATATCTCACACTCTAACGCTTCAAACTTGACGTGAGCAGTGATCTTCCATCTTTATAGTGTTTGAACTTCATCTTTATAGTGTTTGAATTCATGACCAACAGTAATTAAGTTGAAAGTTTAATCATCTTAGCCAAACTTTTAGTTATACTTATATATTTAACGCTTTTTATTATATCTAACTTTGATTGGGGTGTTTATCTTGTATATTTTTTTTAATTAGTTCTTCTATTGTTTAATACGGAGTAATATTTATTATGCACTACGTATATAGAAAATAAAGTATTACAATATGATAATTATAATAATGAATGTTGGGGAATTGATTTAACGGGTCACAAAAAAAACACGAAATTAGACAAATTAACGCTTCGAGGCCTGAACGATATTAGTTTCCCAAAGTAATATTTTGACCCTGAATTTACACATCGGGTATCACGAAATTACTAGGAGATACAACGAAGACAATCATATGTTTTAATAACATATTTATATGAAGCCAAAAAAAAACATCATACATCCATTTTCAAGAAATTGGGTTTTACAATTGATTTTAAGAAAATAATCATACTACCATTTTCTCAAGTTTCGTTTGAGAAAAATACAAATACTTTTTCTTGAATTAGTTTCCATCAAATGTTTTAATAACATATTTATATGAAGCTAAAAAACAAAGCGGCCAAACCGAACAAAGCAAGCGAAGAAAACTGTCACACACATTTTAATATGACCCGCGCCCGACCGGGCCACGGACCACCCTTCCGGGCAAATCTGGGTGACGATCTTGGACCACTCCCACGCCCGGTCGGGAGGCGGTGGCCCTACCGCGCGATGAAACCCAAAATTTCAGCAACCCTTCTCGCGCTCTGTAGGGCGGTGAAGGTTCAACCGAGCTAAAAGCCCTCCTGTCCTTTCTTCGCTGATCCCGCACCCTGCAGGGCAGCGACAGCCTGGCTAGGTGGCAGAAGACAGGGCAGCTTTGCTCCCCTGCTTCTCCTTGCTTATCCTCTAAACCGAGGTTTGTTCTTCACTCTAAACCAAGTATACTCCCCTAAACTGAGGTTATTAGCTTCTAATTACATTGCTTTACTTAATTAAGCATCTTCACCTATTAACACCTTCACCTTTATTAATTAAGCAAATATGAAAATTGTCTCATACTCTAAATTATTCAACAATCCTAACCCATTTAGAGTATAAATTAGACTCATTGCAAAACATCATCATCGCAAAGGCAATCTTATGCATAAATGAAAGTGTACAAAGACTTGAACTTCCTCTTAGTGCAATACACATTTCAAGAACCCGTATCCATTTGGGATCGTTATACGATTGAACTAGAAGCAATACATATTAGATTCATGAAGATATTACACACACAAGATAAATTACAAGATTACATTAATACTTGACACGTAAAGCCATGTGTCCCTATCTTTTCATAAGTACTTCAAAACTATGCCCCAATAGTTTCTTGAAGCGGCTAAACTTCGTACTTATATAGGTAGACTTCCAAACATACTCCTGTGACCGAGCAGTATATCAGGAATTCTATTAAGTTAAAACAACCTCTTTTCATCAGAGAAAAATGGAACTTAACCTTGGATGCATGATTAAATAAGTTCCCAATCATCCACTAAGAGAATAAATCTCATTGAACTTAAGACCCAACGTCATATTGGGTGTTAAGTTGAGATTCTCCTAATTGTGATTACCATAGAGCTCCAATCTTAAAAGATTGCCCATCCTTATATTAACATCTCTTACCCATGCTTTTAAGCAATTGGCGAGATTAAACTTCGTACGAAAATAAACAATAGTTTTTACACTATCCTTGTTAAGTCCTTGGATGTAATTATACCTTACACCAATATTCCTTAACTCACCATTTTACTCTTGGCTATATGCCTTAGAAAAAAATTACATTGTTATCATAATTCATCACTATTATTAGTGATATTGGCTTTTACAACAAAGGAATCTCATCATGCATTAAAACCCTTAACCATTCTGCTTCTTTACCAGCAAAATGTAATGCAATGAACTCCAATGTCTTATAGAATCCGCAATGCAAGTTAATTTGCTTCTTAGATGCCCTTGATGTGGCACATCCCTCATATGGAAATACCCATCCACTTGTGAATGAATTATCTCTATTTGAGATCCAACTTGCATCCGAATATCCTTCAACAACCGAAGGATACCCACTATATCATAAACCATAATCCATGATTTAATTCAAGTACTTCAACAAACTATGAACCATTTGTCAATGTAGCATTCTAGGATTACTGGTGAACCTACTCATTTGACCAATCGTATGAGCAATATTTGGCCTAGTATTTGTCACGGCATTCAACAAAACATCCTATAACTCTAGCAAATTCCAGTTGTGAAAACTTCATTAACATTACTAGGTAAAAAATTTATGCTAGGATCCATAGGTGTTGAATAAAGAAAGGTCAAACTTTCACTAACATTGAACTTCTTGAGCACTTTCTCAATGTAATGAGATTGTGACAAGAACAACTTCCCTTTTTCTCTCTGTATTCTTCTGCCCAAGATGACATCTTCTTTTCCCATGTCTTTCATGAAAAACTATGAACTAAGGAAATATTTTGTCGTTTCAACTTGTGACAAATCTGTTCCATCCAAAGATCTACATGTCATCTACATATAGAAAATTATGACACCTTGATCGTTGTCATCAAATTTTCTATACACACATGTCTAAATTGTATAACTTAAAACCATTAGACAACACTACCCATCAAACTATTGATGTCAATGCTTAGGTGCCTATACAGTGATTTAATTAATTTGTAAACTTTTGTCAATTGGCCTTCCACAACAAACCTTTTCGATTGTCGCACATAGACCTCTTCTTCAAAATTTGCATTCAAGAACACAGTATTGACATCCATTT